TCACCTATTGAAGGACATCTTGGTTGCTTCTAAGTTTTGGCTATTATGAATAAAGCCGCTATAAACATCCATGTGCAGATTTTGCATGGACATTCGTTTTCAATTCATTTACAAACAAATATTCTCAAACAAATATGCCAGTATGGTGGAGTAACTTCCCAGAAACTGATCTGTCTGTAAAAACTATAAACACTGGACAAAATATTAACAACAATTCTCTTAAGACTCTGGAGCACTAACAAGGGCAGGCAGATTTTGGAGGAGAGCCAAACATGGAAAGGGCCAGCACGGGGAGAGTTTCTTGGCTTTATGGCTTTGTCCTAAGGGTAAAGCATAGCCAAAGAATGGCAAAGAACTATTGAAAAGCACCATCTTTCTGGCCTGAGGAAGGCTGAGCCTGGGAAAGAAAGTGAGAGGGAAATTCTACAAACCACCTATGTTCTAGGAAAATTGCAAACAGCTTAGCCGCTATCCACCAAAGGTGAGATAGGTTTATAGTATGAGACAGTTAGCAATTAACCTAAAAGAAAAGCAACTTTTTAGAGAATTACAGTCCAGAGAATCCACAACGTAACGTTCACAATGTCCAGGATACAATCCCAAAATACTGGATATATAAAGAACCAAGAAAAGGTGGGGAGGAGAGGTGGGGGGGGAGGCAATCAACAAAGACCAAACCCAAGATGACTCAGATGTGTAACTATCAACAAGAACTTCAAAGCAGTTATTATAATTATCTGTCAAAAAAAAAAAAAGTTAATGAATGAGAAGATTGGAAATAGCAGAAAAATTTTAAATGTAAAAAAGAACCAAATGGAAACTTTAGAACTGAAAATTTAAATATCTGAAAGATTCACTGCATGGGCTTTAATATAAGAATGGACATGGCAGAGGAAAGGTCAGTGAACTTAAAGATAGGTTTTAGGGTTTTTTTTTTAATGACTAAGACCTATAGAACAATATAAAATGACCTACCATAGGTTTAACTGGGGTTCCAAAAAGAGAGAAGGAAGAGAATGACGGAAAAATATTTTTTGAGTAAATAATGGCCAAAAAATCCCAAATTTGCTGAAATGCATAAATTTAGAAATCAAAAATCTAAGCAAAACTCAAACAGGAAAGTACACCTAGGCACATCATAGTCAAAGTGTTATAATCCAAAAATAGGGAAAATCATAAAAGCAGACAGAAAATTTATATGCCATATCTAGGGAAACAACAGTCTGAATGGCCACGTGTATATCACATTGGAAACCCCGAAGGCCAGACACAGAAACATCTTCATAGTGCTAAAATAGAACAAATACTAAAAAAACATTTCCTTCAATTGATTTCAGAAAAGATTTCGTATTTGAAGACTGTTCTGGAATCAAAAGTAGCATAATAGTACATCTAACCACTAACACCCCAAATTGGTTTCAAAATACTCTTTCAAGAATACCCAAACAAAAATAGGTGTCACATTATTACCTGTTTTCTCACTATCCTTTATATTTTTTAATAAGGCTTTATCAATGCTACTAAAATGTAAAAGAAATATATCATTTTTAAGGGTAAAGAAACACTTAAAACTTTCAATAAGCATCAGTTTGAAAGGCTGATTTTTTCTAATTTTTTCAATGCTATGATTTTCCACTTTAAAAAAATTGTTATTTAAATCAATTAACTTGGAATCTGTTTGAAAGTAAAAGGGGAAAAAAAAAAAAAAAGCACACCAGAAAGGAACATCTTAGGCTTGCTGGCTGCCACAAGAGAGTAAGGAAGGTAGCTACCAACTTCAAACCTATCTTTCACGACCTAAAATTTGCTTGGCAGTTTATAATACAGGATGTGCCTGTATCTCTGACATTTTGTCCATAGCCATGTATATTAATCTTGGGCAAAAGGAGAACTGACTGTTGTTTCTATATATGCATAGAATTACTTTTATCAGAAAACCAAATCTTTTTATAAAAACCTTTTTTTTTAAGCCAGCGATGTCTACTTCCTATAGGAAGTAGGCCTTTTTAAATAAGTATTACTAGCCAATGATGTCTTGGCAGTTGAACTATTCTCCTAAAAAACTGGTAAAAAACTAATGCACTACTTCAGAAGAACAGATCATGCAGCTTTTATTTACCGTTTAATATCCTCTTGGGCATGGGTGGGATTTTCCTTCCAAATAAGACTATCACAGGCTTAACTAGCTGAATACATATTGTAGAGGATTCTGTGAAGATGCTGCATATAAAATACCAGTATCTGTTACAAATATATCCATTTAACAAGTTTGTACATTACAATGACTGCCAAGGTCAAAATAACTCCTGGGACTTAACAAGTAGCACGAATATACTGTGGCAGCAGCAGGTAGAAATGGCCCACAAAGAGCAGTGTTCACACAGTGCAGTTGCTACTAGAGCACAGACTGAGGTCACATCTTTTTTCTTGTCAGTAAATACACAAATAAAAGATGAGGAGAAAGCAATGGGGACTTGATGGCAGTCAGTTTTGTTGTGCAGGCAGATTGCATTACAGGTAGACACACCAGGAATTATAAATCGGACACAAACACTCATTAAAGAAAAACAGCTGCTCTTTATCATCAAAAAGACTACTTTATACTATTTTCATGGTTCTGATTTCCAATTGCCACACTTCATGTGTCTCCTTTTCATACATTAATAAATTTGTGAAGATATATCTAGTGCACTAATTCCAGGAATAGGGAACTTATTAATAGACCTTACAAATCAGTTGCTTATATCACAAGTAGCACTAAATGTTTCTAAGGAAAAAATAATCAAAATCTATTCCAGATAGCTGTTCTGGAAAGTAGAGAGCGATGATATAATGATATACAGTATCAACATTCCACAGTTACAAACTCTCTTGTTTTCAACCCTTTTAAATAAATATGTGCACACGTGTACAACAAACATAAGTTGCACTGCAAGACAATGATTTAGCATTATTAGTTGTGCAAATGATTTGGCTCATCAAGATGAAGGCATTACATACATAAATTAGAAATGTGCTTAGAAACCTAAAATAAGCATAATTCAATAGCACAAAGCAGTAAAGTTCAGGTGTCTTAGCACCACTCTCAGCACCAAGGGAAATTCCCAATATTAAATAACAAGAAGCTTAAAAAGCATAAAATTTGGTGAGGTTTTAACACTTGATATAGGCCAAGAGCATGATTCTTGCCTTTATGATCTTATTTTCCAAAAACACATAACCTGCATTGCATCCTTGCTAAGGAAGAGTATCTTAGGTACTGTGAATTAAAATTGGACGGCACTTAGTGGAGGGGAAAATACTGATCTGGAAAACGCCACATCATAAGAGGCCATAACGTTCCTGAAAAACATCCAAAACTGATTTTTTTCCCCCAAGCAAAAGCCTCAAATTTAAGTCCATGACAGTTTCCTTAAAATGTATGATGCTACTATTAAAATTCACAGTTATATGTCAGTATCAGTAAAGAACATGTTCCGGTAATAAACACTTAAATTTTTATTTGTAAGCCCCTTTCCCAATTAGAAGCAATCCCATAGCACACAGCCAAGTTTAGGTATTATCTATGGCACTGTTTCTCAAACTGTTAGTAGCAAACCAGTTGTGAGTCAGAAAATGAATTTGGTGGGTCTGAAGAGCATTTAAAACAAGAGAGAGAGATATCAAAGTATATTGCATATACTATGGGTATTTCACAAAGCATTTATTTCAGTTAAAGATTGTATATTCATACATTCATACACACACACACACACATGCACACACATGTTCTGGGTCATGATGTAAAAAGTTATTTTTATTATGAGTCACAGTCAAAAAAGTTTGAAATACATTGGTCAATGGAAACCACCAAAAATAATAAACATGGGGTTCCCACCAAAAATAACACACATGGAGATTTCTGGTATTAATGTCAATAAGGGTTCAGGATTGAATGTAAACCAATCTTGCGCTCTGGAATCCACGGTGAGCTACAGAATTCTCAGTTTAGCATAAATACTTAGGTTAAACTTGTTTTTTCCCCTTACCCTACCTTTAGGCAGGGGCATGAGGAGTAGGAGGAAGATGAGAACCCCTAGGTACAATTATTTATCTGGAGTGGTACCATGTTATTTTGAGAAAAGGTATTAAAAAAAAAAAAAAAGTAATTCCCAGATGGCTAATTAAAAGGCTTTCCTTCTAACCCATAAGATTACATTGTTAGAATAAAAGTGAGTAGAAAGTTTTAAGTCGTCATTACAGTTTTGAGATTATAGTCTAAACCAAGGCAGTCTGCAATTTTGCTGTTTTTGGTTTTGCAAAATATGCAACACAAATACAGACAGAATGAGCAATCTTGTCCTAATCTTCTTTTATCTTCCTGTAGAAAGATGATAATCAGAATTATCACATGGAGACCAAATTCGCCCTCTCAACGTGTAAAGATGTGCTAAATAATCATTTTCTAAAAATCAACCCACTAAACACACGATAAAACAATGTTCAGCTTTTGACTTTCAAGAACCCACTGGTAAGGGTCAGTTCAGTTCTGGCATAGGGACCACCCTTGCATTAGGGTGTACCACCATAAATGTACCTCACCTTGGGATTTTCTTAGGTAGGCCAGACTTAGCACTGATTTGGCAGCAGGTGGTAAAAGAAAGTGTAGTGGGCAGAACATTAAACACATGTTCTCTAGCCTTGGCACAGGCCTCAGAAAGAAAGCCATGTCTTCTCAGAGCCTATTTTTTCAGGTGTAAAACAAGGGGTTAAACCAAGTGACTTATAGGGTCTCATCCTGAATAACTTTATTTAATTTGGATGCAGGTCTAAGATTTTTATCCAGCTTGATCTGCAACTTTTGTCTATTAATTCCTTTAATAATAGTTTTAATTCTTTTAATAACTATTTCTGTCCAGTCTTATTTACAACTACCTCTCACACATCCAAGGTTCCATTAAGCTCACTCAGCTCAGATACTTTAAAAACATTAAGTAAAATAAAGCTAAAAAGGAACAAAATTTAAGGCTTTTTTTTTTTTATTTCAGCCAAGGAATGATGCATGCTACAGATTAATCTTTACTTTTCCCCACTTGGTTTTTCACCATTTCAACCCCCAATGAACATGGCACTTGTTTATTTCTTCCCCTTCTATTCCAGACTTTCAAGTGCTTTCTTCAGTAATGATGCTTTCTCCTGCAGCTCAGGTCTGCTGTCTGTCTCCATAGTGGCTAAAGACTCAATCAGGAGCACTCTGCATTCAGATGTCAAACTATCCCACTGTTTAGATTCTGAATGTAAGAAGAAAAAAAAAAACACAAACAATCCTTATAAAACAAGCAAGAAAAAAAATTAAAGCTACTTTTCCTCCATTTGTTCTAACCCCAAAATAAATACAAAGCAACCGCTTGATGACAGACCAGTATTTAACGACCACAGGTTGAATTAATGTCTCAAAACCTAACTATTGACAATTGTTTGAAAGTACATCAGGGAGTTTTATTCCCTTCTCCCAGTAGTAGCTCATTCTCACAAAGAGAAATGAACTACAGTAAAGTGAGAAGAAGGAAGTATCAAGGCAAGGAACATACGTGGTAACAAAAAAGTCATTTCAACAAAAACAAAAGGCCACTTTATAAGACATGCTCAGTAAAAAAATCTTGAAAAAACTTCATAATTGCAAGGTCAGTTTAAGTAGACCACACTTTATTACCCTTTTCTTTAAGGAAAGCATCAGAGAACTATATACATACTGAAATTTTTATAAAATAAGTACATAAAAATCTTAAATTGTATCTACAAGGCTGCGCCATTTTCTAGCAATGTGGCTTCAAGCAAGTTATTTAATCTTTTAGCCTCATTTTCCTCATCCAGAATATATTAGTACATATCTGAGAATTCAGCAATATGACTAAGTGCCTAGGTCTTTTATTTCAACAAGGAAAAGGGATTATGAGATGTTTACTGTTATTAAGTCTAAAAGGCCTGTTTTATGGAGCCCTAAAAGGGGCGTTTTAATTGCTAAGCAAAGATAGAGAATTAGGAACAGCAAATATACAAAGTTGTGGAGAAAATTGTTTCATCTTCTACATTCTGAATCCATGGAGTCAAAACAATAAAAGAAGAAGAAAAGAGGCCTCCTTTTGAAATCAGTAACAGATATACCACTGGAAAAAAATGCTAGCAATTATCTTTTACCATTGATATAAGTGACCATTAGAAGAAATCTGCTTCTTGATAAAAAGGTTTTTTTTTTTTTTTTTTGAGACCGGCCGCACCGCGCTCAGACAGTGAGCGGTGACCGGCCATCCCCATATAGGATCTGAACCCGCGGCGGGAGCGCTGCTGTGCTCCCAGCACTGCACTCTCCAGAATGCGCCACAGGCTCGGCCCAATAAGAAGGTTTTAAAAAGAAAACGGGAAAAAAATAGGATTAAGAAAGTTGCTACTATCAAATTTGCTGACTCAGGTAGATAACTGTTAAAATGTTTTTCCAACTCCACTTTTCAATGTGTCATTCTGTTTATTTACATGCATGTAGTGAACTCTACTGTGCCACTGTCAACCATTTCCTGTAATTAATCAAAATTAAATCAGGATGCATGATGGAAACAAAAACTTTATTACTCTGAGATAACTGTAGCTTAATAATACATTAAAAGTATATAAATTAAGTGTATCAAATTTAAATACTTAATAAAATTTAATGGTTTTAGCACTGTACATTATACGTGCATGAGCATATGTGTTAATCTGTATTTTAGAATGTATGCTTAGAATATAAGCAAAAACAGAAAACAAAACATTTCTAAAACATATGTCATAAAGTGTCCTGGTTTTCTTCTGGTCCTCCAACCAGAACTATCAAGAACTCACCTTCAAGTTTTTTAAGTAGTAATTCTATCACAGATAAAGCTTCTGTTCTCACAGATGAGTAGGTCTTATTTTCTAAGAAGAAAATCATATAACTCTTAGGCATGCCTTAAAAACAGAACCTCCAAGATTAAATTAATGTTACTGAAAGATGTTCAGAAATTATAACTCCATGGAAAGATATATCTGTTTTTTTTAAGTAAGCTTCCCTTTTCTAATTATCAAATACTTGAAATGTGCTACTTGTCCACATTACTTAATTTAGAAAAAAAAAAAAAAAAATCAACCAAATATACCCATCACCACACCAAACGGCATATTTAAAGGACCCATTCTAGACATGGGAGATCAAAATACACTATCTCAAACACAGTCAGTCATCTTCACATTACACCTAAGAAAGGTCTTTGAGTTTGCATGACCCTCCTCATTTTGCCAAAGAACAGTACACAACCCAGTGTTTACACCAATTCTGGGACACCTGGAACCCTGCAAAGACAAGTTTGTTAGCTGCCAGTTCATCTGTAAAAGCATGCTACATCCAAGAATTGCAACTGAAACACGCTTCCATGTCTGCTCTTTGACATGGCATCTAGTTCACAGTGAAATTGTCTACCAAGAAAATTAACACACAATCAATCCCAGGGCAGGGAAGGCATCAGATGAGCCTGTAACATCTTGCTATGCTATAAAGTACATCAGTGCTATAAAGAATTATGGTGACCTGTCAAAAGGACACAGGAGTCAGCTCGAAGGAGGTTCCACTGACCAAAGCTAAGAAAATTTGAGTAACAATTAATAAAATAATTATAAACCTTGGGCAGGGGCACCCATGAATCAATACCAATAACAGGTAAATAAAGAGAGAAGAGAAGAATCTCACGTACAATAGAATGCCAACTACGAAATGGTAAACGTGAAGAAAGTGCTAGAGTTGGAAAATCATCTTAGCAAAAATTGATTCAAGGAAAAAGTATCATTGCATGCTAAATCCAGAGAAGAAATTTTGAAAAGAAGAGTATTTGAATGGTGTTAATGTGTCTTCTCACAGACTGCTTATTAGATGCAGTGTTCTTAAAGTGTGTTCCAACAGGCTGCTTATTAGATACAAGAGGGAAAAACAGTAGCTATACAGGAAAGAAAACTGATAGTACCTTGACCAGGTAATCAAAATTAACATCTCATCAAATGAGAACAGATGAACACTGTGTGCCTCTTAATGTGAGAAGGACACAATATCACTTATACAGTATCCCAACTGGGAATTCACAATCTGGACCTAACATGAGAAGATGTCAGGTAAAAACCAAATGAGAAACATTTTGCTTTTCAAAAAGAAAGTGGGGGGGGAGCAGACTTTATTCTTCAAAATTGTCAATGTCATATACGACAAAGAAAGGGTGAAAAAGTGTTCCCAGATTAAAGGAGACTAAAGAGATATGAGAACTAAATTCAATAAATGACCCTGGACTTGATCACTTAATGGAGGGAAGAAAAAATTCCTATAAAGAACATTAGTGAGGGAGGGAGGGGGTTTGGGAAGTGATATAGGTCAGGTAAAGGGCATAAAGAAATATCATGATTTGTAAGAATGAACATGCTAATAATAAATTTAAAAATTTAATTAAAAAAAGAACATTAGTGAGTCAACTGAAAAAAATAGAATATAAATGATAAAAATGTGATAAAAATACCACATCTATGTTATGCTACCTAAAGTTGATAACAGTACTGTGGTTATATAAAAGAATGCACACTGAAGAATTTAGGAATAAAGGGGCATGAGGTAAGCAATACACTTCCAAATGATCCAGAAAAAACACAGACAAAGATATTTAAAAATATGTAAGTCCAAATAATAAAGCAAATGGGACAAAATGTTAACAGATGACTCTAGGTAAAGTGCATAGAGGTATTATATGTACTACTGTTGCAACTCCTCTGAAAGCTTGAAATTATTTCCAAATAAAAAAATTTTTGAACATTTGTCACAAAGGTTTTTCTAATCTGGGTGCTAAAATCCTATCATAGTTTCAGATTAAAAATTCCAGTTTAGGAGTATGTACAGAGTATATTAAGTAGGAGAGTTCAGTAGTTCTTCCAGAAATTTAATTCTTAGGACAAGATAAGGAATATTTGAAGCTCAGCACCTTAACTTTAAAATAAGAACTCCTGGGCCGGCCCAGTGGCGCACTGGAGAGTGCGCCGCTTGGGAGCACGGCGGCGCTCCCGCCGAGGGTTCGGATCCCATGTGGAGACCGGTTCCCGTTCACTGGCTGAGCGCGGTGCGGGCGCAATACCGAGGGTTGCGATCCCGTTGCCGGTCCCCGGTACGGGCGCGACACCGAGGGTTGCAATCCCATTACCGGTCAGTAAAAAAGACAAAAAAAGGAAAAAAAAATAAAATAAAATAAGAACTCCTTATTAATTTCAGTTTACTACACTCACCTAAAGAATATGTGATTGATTTACAAGTTTCAAGGAGAATTTCAGCCAAAGCCTCAGGATCTGCATGTTCTTCTTCCAAAAGCATTAATCTATACAAATCAGAAAGCAAGATACAAATGCTAGTTACAAGAAACATTCTAAAACCTTCCTGGCACAAACAATTTCTACTGCATTTATCACTTTATCATGTCACTTTAGCTATTAGTTTTAAAAGGCCTAAGAATTCCATTGATTATATACAAAATGCTTGAGGGGAGCAAGAGGGGTAGCATGCAAAATAAAAAACTGAAACATGAAGCAAATTACCCCTGAAAAAAGGCATTCATTGACTGCAGGACTCCTAGCTGCACCTTCCACGTGCTGAGTTTTAGCCGTTCACACATCAATTTGCACAGTTCCTGACGATAACAACCTGGGGGAAAAAAGACAAAGTGAGACAGAGCAGGAGAGAGAGTGTGAAGGAGTGAGAGACAGAGCAAATGAGGGACAGACAGTAGAGGGACAGAGAGAGCAAAAGACAGACAGAGGGACAGAGACAGGGTAGAGAGGAGAAGGGAGAGAGGGGAGAGAAGGGAGAGAGGGGAGAGAGGGGAGGGAGGGGAGAGAGGGGGGGGAGGGGGGTGGATAAAAAAATAAATGCCTTTAATTAAAACTATGTAATTTCCCAAAAAACTTTGACTTTGTGCCCAATTCGCAAACACACTGCCTTTATCAGAAACCACGCCCCTTCTTTGGTTTTTTGTTTTGTTTTGTTTTGTTTTGTTTTGTTTGTTTTCTGGGGGTTTTTTGTCCTTTTTGAGACCAGCCGCACCGCGTTCAGCCAGTGAGCGCTGTGAGCACACCAGTCATCCCTATATAGGATCCGAACCTGCGGCGGGAGCGCTGCTGCGCTCCCAGCGACGCACTCTCCCAAGTGCACCACGGGCTCGGCCCCCTTCTTTGGTTTTAAATAGTACAGAGTGGGGGGAAAGAAACTCTCACAAAGGTGCAATATAACTGTTCATAAATGTTCGCTTTCAAGGCATGTCATCTCTGTGGAACTGAGACAGCACCTTAACCACACTCCCCTTCTCCTTTAAAACTCCCTGAATCACAGCCAAAGAAAGCAGAACTCTGAGGGACGGGAGCTCCTCTCTAGACACTCAAGCTTCTGCAAATTGTAGGGTTACCAAGAATAAACAGTGCTTTACCACAAACCTGTTATGCCAACTGGAATTATTGTAATTATATAATTAATATGCTTACTGATGAATCAGGATAAAACTCAACAGAGGAGTTGTTTTTTAAATGCTGTAGAATTTACTAGGGCTCAAACAAATGTAAAGACAGGGCAAGAGGATAAAAATCTAGACTTCTGCACTTAGATTGCTTCATAAGAGTTTGTCATGTCTTTCTCTATTTTAAAGAAACAAAAACCAGAAACTATAGATGATACATTATGAGTAAAGATATATATGAGAGCCAATGTGTAACAGTTAAATTTCAAAGGAAAGGCCTGAGTTCTCTACTCAATAACTGGCAAATAAATGTACATTTCTATGTCTTATATTAAAATAAACTGCCTTGTGCATCATTTTTTAAATTTTTTAAATTAAAATGTACAGATTATACATATTTGATCAAATCAGGGGTATCAGTATATTCATCATTATAAAACTTAACCATTTCTTTGAGATGAGGACATCCTCTCTTCCAGTCATTTAATAATATGCAGTAAGTTACTGTTAATGTATCATCTTTTTTATATAATTCCCTACTTTAACTTTCTCTACCTATCAAGGAAAAGTTAATAGTCTTAATGGTGTCAAATAAGTGGACTTCCACTGCAGTCCATAACATAATACCAAGAAATAAGACCACTTGTAAATTTGTAGGTTTGGGGAAATCCTTCCTATACATAGCAAATATGTAAATTCACGCAAAGGATGACAGGACTCAAAGTCATAAGTCTGATTTTAGAAATATTCAATCATGAAAAGTCAATACGTTTTTTTACAACATTCAAAAATACTGAGATGTTCAGCAGGATGCACTATAAGACCCAACGGAGGGCAAATTCAAAATTAGAGTAGTATCGTCCCAAGTTTAAGGCCCATCAGAGGACTCCAAACTAACTGCAACCTAATCCAATAATAAAGGTTTACTATTTATTTATTTAATCCTTTGAAAATACATGTCCAATTCTGAAAATCTCTCAAACAGTCATAAGTTTTTCAGTGAAAAAGAGATTTCACCTGCTTAATAAAGACTTGGAAGTAAGACCATTAATTCTGAGATGAAGAGACCCCAGTAATAAATATTGTGGATTACTCAGAATAGAACTATGATCATAAAGAAGAGTAACAGAACCCTTTTTTTTTTTTTTTTTTTTTTTTTTTTTTTTTTTTTC